CTAGGACAGGAGGGGTGGGGATGGAGCCCCAGCACAAAGCTAAGGGGAAAGCCACCCTTCTCGGTTGGGTTTACCGACACTGTGATTTCCGCAGGGCCTGGGCCACCCCCGCATTGGCAGTGCTGAGACAAGCTGGTCCCCAGTCCCTCGCCACCACACGGTGCCTGGCAAGCGCTCCGGGCGGGCAGTGGGATGTGCCTCACGCTTACCTCGAAGCAGGAGCACCCAGGCCACGATCCACTGAGCACTGCGCATGGCTCCTCCTGGCGCCCCGAGCTGCTCCGGCCACCCTGAGCCTCCCAGGCCGGGACAGCGAGCAGAGGGAATGTGTCAGCAGTGCCTTGGGTGACAGGTCCCTCCTCCTGCACCTTTGTCCTTGGGGACAGAGGGGTGCTGGATGGGAGAGCCACGACCCATAGCAGATTAGAGCAGTGGGGGGGGTCGTTGTCCTCTTCACTGAGCGCTTCTCCTTGAAAGCAGATCCTGCCACGAGATAAAAAGTATCAGCAAAGTCAGCACAGAGTCCAAAGATCCCTTGGGAGCAGAGATGTGCCAGCACAGCCTGGCATGCTGCCACCACCCGGGGGACAAAATACAGCCTGGCATGTGAGGATGTGTCCTATTGCTCAGGCTGAGGAGGGGTCTGGATAGGACCATGGTGCAAGGCAGCATCTCTTTGCAGGGGGCAGGAGGGTCATTACCCACCCCACGCGGACCATGCATGCATGGCCAGAGCTCTCCTGCATCCTTCCCGTGGCATCTTGCAGCCTGGGAACTGAGCACGGGCCACACGATTCCTGCACAGCCAAAGAGAGTTTCTGCAGGGCCGGTTGAGTCACGGGGCTGGCGGGAGCGCAGCTCAAAGGGGCTGCCGTCTGCCAGCCCCCGGGCCCAGCCGTGCGGGTGCCGCGGTGCCAGTTGGCTCTGCGGGCGCGCGGCTCCGCCGAGAGCAGCCAAGCCCGCGGCGAGGCCCCTGGGCGGCTTCGCTGACCCTCATCGATGGTCATCACTAAATATCAAAGCTGGCGCGGGAAGATAAACTGCCCTTCCAGCAGCACATGCAGGCCAGGGAGCTCGCTGGCCTGTCTACACATGGCTTGATGGTCCCTGGGCAGTGCTGGTGGATGAAAATAGGCCCAGAATATTTATTTGTTTGTTTGATGTATGTATTTTTATATATCATTTATTTAATTATCATTATTTATTTATTTATTTATTATTCTCTCTATTTATTGATTATTCTTCGTTCCGCTCGGCGGCTCCCGTTTCGAGACGGGCACCAAGGCCGGGGGTCTGAGCCCCGCGGACCTCCAGGGCCGCCCCCTTGCCCCGCTCCGCTCGGCTCCGCCGGCCCGCGGCGCTGCGGGGACCGTCGCAGTGTCACTGGGCCCCTGCTCACCACGAGGTGGCACCACGACCTCGCCGAGGAGCCACGCGGACTCTTCCCCGCCCCGCCGTCAGGTCCCCGGGCCACCCTGTGGGTGGCAGGAGCAAGGGGATTCCCCCCGCCCCGTCCCCCACGGTGACAACTCTGCCAAGCAGGCGCTGGGGCCGAGGAGCACGAAGGGCTGCTGCTTCCACCCCTGCACTCACGTGTGTCCCCCTCCCCATGCGAGCTGAGCCCTGACGCACTCATGTCACCCAGGCCCGCAGGCAGGAACAGCCTCCTGCTCCTCATGTGCAGCCGAAGCAGGAGGCAGTGGGGAAGGACCCCCCTGCAAGGGAGGGACACGTGCGCTCGTGCACCCCGGCACTGCCTGCGACTGCGCTGGCAGCAAAAGTTTCCCTCCGATGGGAATGCAGTCGCCATGGCAACGGGCAGGCCGAGCGCTACTTCCCTCCTGGTAATTAGTGACATGTGTTAACGATGCTGCCTCTCCCCCACTTCCCTCTGTGCCTGGGAACTCGGCACCAGCGTCTGCGGGGCAACGCTGGGAAGTGTCTACCCTCCTCCGCGCTGTTGTCCCCAAAGCCACCAGGTGCCAGGAGCCCCTGGGGACGCTAGGGACCCCCCACAAGCCACACGCTCCCTCCTCACGCCAAACAAGCAGGCGTAAACAGGACAAAACTCATCGGAAGGCGCACGTCCGCCGGGGCCCTTCCCGGCCGTTTCCTCGAAGGGCCCTCGGAGGAAGGTGTTGGGGCGCGCGTGGAGGGGAGACATCCTCCCTTTGTGGGGCTATTGTTAGCCTTCCGCCACCTGCAGAAGCCGTGGGGGTGACTCAGGGCCCAGAGGGGCGTGCGGCCGCAAACAGGATGCCAGAGCGAGCGGCCGCGCGAG